AATTCAGGTAGGCCAAATTTGAGTGAGTGGCACTGCAACCCCACGAGCCAGGTCACAGCTCCACTGGCACAAATTTGGTCCAGTGAGGGGGGTGCAGTCAAACCTGAGCAGGGCTGCAACCCCTGAGGTTGCAATGCCCAGAGCCAAGCCCAGCCAGCCCCACAGCACAGGAGCTGCAGGAGCCACCACTGTGGGAATAAGTGCCGGGCAGCACCCAACCCCCTTGGGGAGACAGGACACAACTGAAAGCACCCCAGGGCTTCCACCTCCAGACTATTTACTGGGTGGTGACCAGCCATAAACATTAACAAATGGGTCCTGAGCCCAAAAAGGTAGAGAACAGCCATTCTACACAGTTCTAATGGGTAGCGAGGGCGCATGGTTTAGTGACTGGAAGATGAAATCAGGAACTCCCAAGTTCTAACCTCGTCTTTAGAACTGACTCACTGTTTGGATTTAGGAAATAATCTTAAAATGTGACTCTGCTCTGAGAAGTGACTAACCATGGCCTGGGCTCCAGAGTGGTTTTTCTCACTACCTACATGAGATTCACTCAGTTTACAAGCTACGTGCCTTTTCCTGACTGCCAGCCCTGAAACTTCACTCTGGGATCTGAAAGTCAAGCTGGGATTTTTCCTGCTTGTGCAGCATCACAAACAGCCCTGACGAGAGATGCATGATACATGTAGGTAAGGTGTCACCAAAGTATGTGCTTCAAACTAGAATTGCATGTTAACCTATTTGTCTGAGTTTGCCCATCCGTAAAGTGGGAACAAGATCATGTACCAACTTCTCAGCTGTGAGGATTGACTAGTTAATATCTGTACAGCATTTTGAAAATGTAAAGCACTATTCAGGGGTTACCATAAAATCTTTCCTGTTTCTATTTGTAAGTCACTCATCTTACCATGGTATTCTCTATACTATATAAAGGAAATACAGCAAGTATCATGCTAATGTTAGGTAAAATTATAAAAATGTTGATGGTGGCCACTGTCTAAGTGTTGAATAATTATAAAATGGTGCCTGCAATCACCCTCTGCTTATGAATGTAGAGTGAGAACTACATTAAAAGATTGTAGGCTTTCATTTTATTATTGGATACTTTATATAGTGCCCAAATTCACACCAGGTGCTTTACAGAATACATTGTCTTACTATGTCCCTACCCTAAGAGCCTGCTGCTGGATCTGTGTAGGTGAACCCCTGAACCCCTGTGGAACCCCACTGAAATCAACAGGACACCAACAGAGGCGCAGTGGACTGCGCAGACAGATCTGATTGCAGAACTGAGACCTAACATTTATTACAACATAATGTGTGAGGATGACAAACAATAGGGAGGGATAGGGAACAGTAACACGATTGTGCCACCAATCAGTTTAGATTACTGTACTCCTTGATGGCTTAATTTTAATTACAAAATAAATTATAGATTCACTTCTCGTGGGCATGTGGGGATTTAAATGAGAGGGTGAAGGCTTGGCAGATTGGAATACTTGAGAGGGTGTTCCATGTGTAGGAGGAAACATGAAAAAGAGACAGATGCTTGTGGGGGAAGTGGACAAATAGAGGGCAGGTGGGGAGGGGATCATGGCCAGCAGCATTGGGGTGAGAGAAGGAAAGAGGCAAAGGGATAAGCAGCTAGGGTGCAGTGATACACTTGAAGGCAAAAACAAGCAATTTAATCTTATGGTGATAGAGATCATTTCTAGGGAACTCAAATAGGAAGCAATTTATATTCCTCCACTCTGGAAAAAATGAGTTCAAGTAAACATGCTTGTGTGTTTGCTTCCCTTCAAAGATTATGTAAGTTTATATACAAATTAAAAGCAGCCTTTGGACACTTTCCAAGTTACCATTATGTCCTTTGGAATCATTGCATTTGGGCACCCTTATCTTTGACCATTAGTGTAAGAACTGGTCACGCCTTCAGTTTCTTTAAATCATAACTTGCTGGTTGGTGATCGAATTTGCTACAACCACATCAATGACCCCAGAAGTCACTGTTCCATGGTAGCATTTTAAAAAAAATAGTATGTGTTTTTTTTAGTTACAAAACCCAATGGTTTTGCAATTAAGACATGTATGATAAAGACTGCAGCATAGAAACTAAAAGATTGTGCAGCTATTGACAGCACTTCAATGAGTGCTTTTAGAATGAGATTTCATTTCTGTGGATGGAGAATACTTCTATGCCCAATTTAGTATCTGATTGACAGCTTTCCAACGCTGCCAAAAAGCTGACATTCTGCAACCTGCCATATTTGGGTTCTAAAAACATATAGGTGACAAACTGATTGGAATCTGGAGGATTTATTTTGACCTGCCAGTAAGCCAGGTGGTTAAATGGTCCAGTCCCATCTCCTTCCCTGACACCGCAAGGAACATTTTATGAGGCAGTTTCCCTCCCTTTTTCTGGCAGGGGGGGTGAGGTGGGGTGGGAGGGAGACACAACAAAAACAACAAAAACTTTTGCAACAACTGATCTAGGAATAATGCAAAGTCCGAGGCAGCTACCCTCAGCCAGAACAAGAAGACAGCAGGAATGGGTTTCACTTCGCAAGGTTCAATTCCCGCCCGATTTCCCTATGATATGTGACATTCCCTTTGAAGTCAATGGAATCTGGTCCCAAGACAAAGAAGGGGGAGTGGGTGTGTGGGAAGTCCAAGAGAAGCCTCACACTTCTTCCCCCTGTGCAGTTCTGAAACCTCTCCAGTATGAGGAAGTTGTCAGAATTGCACTTGATAAGCAAAAACTTTAAAACGTAAACTCAGCTTTCCGGAAAAAATAGCATGCAGTAAAAGTCAAACTGTTCCTTGTGCCACCATACAGATAGGGTGGAAATGGGTGGGGGGGAGGGGAAGGTGGTGAAAAGGTTTTCAAGGATACCCCTAACATTGCAAACTGGGGTGCGTGGGGGAAGACTATTTGCTGCATGCTATTATAGCATTCTACGCACAATACTGGTGGTAAACCCTTCATTACTCATCAACACACTTCTCCCACTGAAAGCTCACATACTGCAACACACACACAAAACTGGTTGATTACTTCATTAAACACAGGCTCGAGGACCTATAGAAACAAACTGTTTAAACAGATGCATCATTTAGTTTACATTATTTTGTTAAGCAACATTTTCTTTAATAAAAAAAACAGCCCGGTGAGGTGTCTTATGTGCCATTGAAATGCATAGCAGAAGGCCCAGTCTACTGCAAGACTATTTTCAGCAGCACTCAGTAATTGTTAACTTGTTACTTAATTTGTGCCAAAACTATGTGTTGAACAGTTGGCTTTAGCCAATGTTTGATTAAATGTAGTTGTGTGTCCTGACATAATAACTTCAGGATTCCTACACAGGCAAGGCATCTCATCCATTATACTTCTGTTTGGTACATTCTGAAATATTAAAAGTTCGTGTTCTAATTAAACAGTTTATTCATGCAAAAACTAAAATTACAGTGGATAATTATGTAACAAATTGCACACTGCACTCTATAATCAATATCTCGAAATGCTGGATAACGAATGATCATATGACATGACAGGGTAAATATCTAGTACCCTATCAACCAGTAAGGGAATTAAAAATAATCAAGCTGCTTTTAAATGTTTAAAAACCCTTTCAACTATGAAAACCAGTGATATTAGACAATATTCTGCAGAGACTGCAGTTTCCGGTCTCCATTTATTGGTGAGAATGAGATTCAGCTTGTAATGATAAAAATATTCCTGTGAAAACATGTGCCACTCACAGCTTAGGTGAAAAGCTTTCAATGAGGGTAACAGGCTATCAGCAATGCTAAATCCAAATCCAAATACAGAAGAGCAAGCAGCAGCTAAGATGTGAAGTCCAAAAGGCGCAAGAAAAAAAACAAAGGCACGCTATATTTTTCAATGATGGGGAGCACTCCGCCGAGAATGGCTTTTACCTCCTTCAGCTGAGTACAGGTTGGAGACCCAGCGTAAAAGGGTCTGTGGACCATAGAGAGACAGACAGACAGAGATGGACAGACACTGCACTCCAATAGATTAACATCTTCTATAAAAATCAGTTCACTGGTGGTGCACTGGTCTGAGCTGCCTGTTGTTGTTCCTGACATTCAAGTGTAAACAGGGCATCAATATTCAAGAGTAAACATGACTTGCAAGCAAGTGGATGTTTAGAGAGTTGCTCTTGCATTTTCTGTCAGAGAAGGAGTGGAGCTGGGCTATGCTATTCTTGGCACTTCCTGCAGTTCAATCAGTGGATTTAACTGGAGAGAAGAGGGAGATGGAAGAAAGGGAATCCAAATCCTTTATATAAAGCGATGAATGATAGAAACGTAGGGCTGGAAGGGACCTCAAGAGGTCATCTAGGCCAGCACCCCGCACTGAGGCAGGACCACATACAGCATATTAAAAAATTACTTAACCACAGGGGTCTTCTGCAGTCACCAAGCTCATTTTCTGAACAGAAACAAAGGACCCAGGAGCTGAACATAATGCCATTTTGCCAACAGTGACTACTGAGCAGGGACAGGAAAAGGCTGCTAATTAGCATGAGAACAGGGGTAACCCAAAGTGCAGCCCAGAGTGCTTTAATGTGTCCTGCTGCCATCTTCACCTTTCATATGAAGGTGCAATCTGGAGAAACTACATGTGCCAACATGCAATGTTCTGTCTTGATCTGCTGCAGCACTCCCAATAACTAGGGGACAGGACATACATATTTCCACTGGTTAGTCTGATGCTTGAGTCAAGCAGCAGCATTGCATGCTGGGACCTAAGCATCAAAGACAACCCAGTGGAGATACAGACATCCTGTCCTCCTACTTATTAGGACTGCAACCGCAGCCCAAGAAGGAGCACTGCTGGGACTCCAGCAGCTGATCCTTTGTTTGAAAGATGAGGGCAGGTATTCTTTTCTCTCCAATACGGTTCTGTTTTAATCTCTCTCTCTTTGTATATTTATGAATGGCCAGTAAGATGGATACTTGGAGAAATACAAGGTTACCTTATGCCGTGTTCACAGGTGGACACCACAGTGTATGCATGTACATGCTAAAGATTACTTTGTCTTCTAACTGGGTTCCTCTCAACTTTTGTCACCTTTGCATGAAATAAAAGATACAAGAAGGATAAGAATGTAATTTTAATTTAGCTAATTTTAAACTCTTTAGTAACCGTTTGTATCAATTTCAGGCTACACCATCTAATCTGCACAGATGACCCATTATTCATCAGCTCCACTGGGGCCTCCATCGCATTAGCAAGATTTCCATTCCCCTCTTACTCACCCAAATTTTTAAGGCTCCTATTTTTAGTTTTTTCCCCTTATTGTGTCACTGTTTCTTCTATTTCTCCACTGTCCTCACTTTTCTTTTATGACTCGTTTTCCTTAACCTACGCTCTGAACTGCGTCTGCAAGTTTTGTTTGTTTAAATGCATTTCCTTTATTTTACTTTTGATTTTATATTTGCTCTCCTCTTGCTATTCGCCTTTTCCACTGTGACTTTTGTTACCTTTGTTTAAAGCCTTTGGATATTAAATTATTTTATTTTGGGGGCCAGTAAAGGATGTCTAGCTCCATATTATTATGGTTTGTCTTGCTTTGATTTAATCTAATCTCATATGTTTAACATATTCCGCATAGAGCAAGTGTTGCTACTTTTGTTTGTTTGTTTGTGGTTTTTTTTTTTTTAAGAATTCCTCAATCTGCAATCTTGACTCGTGTATTTTCTTTATGCACTTTAATCCTCTCTCCTCTTGTCTAGGAACATTTGTATGGCTGTATGCGCCTTCCTTGAATCTAATTAAGCAAAAAGACACTGTTTGCTTCCTAGCCAAGTGTTGTAAGAATTACACCATCTGATCTCTAGAGGATTTCACCAGATCAAACCCCCTCTGATTAATTTAACCTAAACAATACTTCAAGCTGTATCAAAATACTGTATTTACTTAAACAGGAAAAGTTATTAAAAACTAAAGAAAACTCTGGGGAGGTGGATGAGGAAATCATATTGTATCTGTGCTGATCAAATCGGTTCATAAGCATAGACAAAGTACAGGTGAACATCTTTTTAGTCTTTTTACACACAAAATTGTCTTTCATTGCCTTCATTAGACATTTTGGACTATTAAATAGATACCATCAGATCAATTTAGGACTAACTTTTATGTTTGATTAAAAACAAGATTTTTACAGTTTGTCATTAGAAATTTTCCCTTATTTTATTCTAATGAAAATAGTTTATTTAAATACAAACATTCCTCTGCACTTTTTTCCAACCCAAACATTACAGCATTGTGCTAGTGCATGAAAGCCAGAAAGTGAAACTCACTAGTCCATTTTCAGTGTCCATGCTGAGTGAGAAATGCAAAATGTAAGATCGCCATATGAATTGCAAAAAGTGAATTTGTTGGAGTTTTTTGATTAGTTGTGTTTCAATAACAATGTATCATTACCAGACAGGATTTTAAAAAAAGACAGTCAAAACAATGAGCTTTAGCGTTCACATTTGAACACGTGGATGAAAATATTGTGCATGAAGTTGCTAGATCAATGCATAGAAACATTTTAAGTTTATTAAAATGGCTGAGTTTAACAAGAGGATACAGCACGCAACCCGATCAACTCTTCCTTCACTAGCAGGAGAGAGGTTTAGGGTCAGTGGTTTAATAGTGCAATCATCTTTCATTTTTGAAAGCACGACTGCAAACTCTGCTTAGATCACAAATGAAAGTGAACAGCATTCTCCTTCCTTCTCCCTAGTAGGAGCTTATCCATGTCACAAATAAACCACCACAGAAACAAGCAGAGTCTCTGACCAGGAGGCTCTGCATGTCAAGATGGAGGTGCACTGACAGAGCAGGAAATCTTATCTAAATGTATGCCATGCCATGTCCTAGTTAATACTATTAGTTCAGGACTTCCATAAGCATCTATTTATTCCACAAATGTTTTAAAAAAAATAAATCTGGAGGTTTACAAGGATGCTCTGGGCCGTACATAGTTTGGCACCTCATTGTAATTATGTTTAAATCAGACAGTTAATTTATGTCCAAGAGAAATAAAAAGACATTTTCTCTTCAGAGCAATCATATGCCCTGCTACAGACTTACAAACCAAAGAGATTTTGAGAGTTAATATTTAAAACGATGTTTTTGGTATCTATCAAAGTATTTAAAAATACACCTCTACCCCGATATAACGCGACCCGATATAACACGAATTCGGCTATAACGTGGTAAAGCAGCGCTCCGGAGGGGTGGGGCTGCGCACTCCGGCAGATCAAAACAAGTTTGATATAACGTGGTTTCACCTATAACGCAGTAAGATTTTTTGGCTCCCGAGGACAGCGTTATATCGGGGTAGAGGTGTATATTTCAGAGCTCATTAAATATTTTATTTTTGTGAGAACAAGACTATTTCAGCTATCCACTGGTGATCAACCAATCAGGTAATTAGAGATGCTGGATGCTTCAAATGAATTAGAATTTTCTTTCAGAGAAAAATAAGGACATTAATATGTGGTCTTAGTAAGGTTTTTATTCTTTATTGAATTTAAAATCAAGTGCCATATGATAAAACCATAATAATACACAAGGCTCTATCCACATCTGACCTTTCCTAATTCCAACTGGTTTGAAGCAACAGTCTTAACCACTTAGGCCTTGGCTACACTTACCAGCTAGTTCGACGGCTGGAAATCGAAGTTCTGG